GAGCAGAGGCTACAATCGACACTTTCTCCTTCAACCAGAGCAGAGTGTGAGGTGAGAAACATGTAACAGCATTCTGATGATTTGATTTTGAACACCATTGACACCAAAGGTAATTAACTCAATATATTTTTATCACAAGCATAAAACATTAAGTGTCTGCTTTTTTTCTGAAGGTGTTGTTAATGGTTGGTTTTCCTGGTTCTGGGAAAACTCACTGGGCAAGGACTCACATTAGGCAGCATCCTGAGAAACACTACAGACTGTTGGGCACAGAGGAGCTGCTCAGATGTGTGATTGTCAGTCAGAACTTAACTTGTATTTTAACAGTTAGTTTATAATAATGTCAGTATTCTGACCAGTTTTCTTTGTGATGGACAGAGTGATGGACAGAGGGACATCAGGCTGCGACAGGCCTCTCATTGTCTGACCGAGTTAATCAAGTTGGCAGCACAGACTTCTGGGAATTATATCCTGGACCAGGTAACATTTTATTTAAGTGTATTCATTTGTGAATTAGTGAGTTGAAGACTTGAACTGCACGACTTGACCTTAATACAGTTTAGCATGACTATCATCACTGTTAACACCTTACCTTTGCAGTCTGAGATGAGATCATTTTCAGTTAGTCATGTCTGTCTAAAAAAAAGTAAAATACAGTTAAAATTATCATAATACTGTTTCAATTTTTTTTTCTTTAGAAAATGCGAAATAAAATTTAAGTCATTGCTTCACATTAATAAATGATACACAGAGTGGAGTCATTAGGTCACTGGAGTATACTCAGACCTGACAGCAGAACTCTGTTCTCTGCTCCTTTGTCACCTTTTCTCTTTGTCTTTTAACTGATTTACAGAACAACATCCTCTTCTCTGCTCGGCGTCACAAGCTGCAGCTGTTCTCAGGCTTCAGGAGGAAAGTAGTGGTGGTTTTTCCATCTGCAGATGAGTGGAAGAAGAGACTGATGCTGCACCAGACAAGTGAAGGAGAGCAAATCCCTCAAACTGCACTGTTAAAACTCCAAGGTCAGAGTTCTGTTGAATTGGGTTTGTGATAAATGGTTAAATATTATTATAGTCCTGTATCATACCTAAGGTTAGTCAGTGTGGGTTCATTACTGGATGCAGGTCATCTTTTAAACCTGCTCCACTCTAATTCCAGTGAGCTGCACTCTACCAGAGGAGCAGAGTGACCTGACTGAGGAGGTGCAGTATGTGGAGCTTCCTCAGGAACAGGCACAAACACTCCTGCAGGAGTACAAAGACTGCGCTCGCAGACTGCTGCCTCCTGTCCCTACACAGAAGAAACAACCTAGAATGTACAAGAAAAGGCCTTACCCTCCTGGCCCCCCACCACCTGCTCCACTGAAGTTCTCCTGGGCTGGGAGAAATGGTCAGCAGTAAACAGAAACTAACCATATGTAGCGTGATCTGTAGATTCTCAGACAAACATTGTTTTTATTTTAATCTCGTGTGTAGAGTGGAACGACCAAACCAGATTCAGCCTACAGCCGTGGAGTCAGCCCTCGAGCTACGTGAGTAAACCCTCAGACCTGCACAGCAAACACACTCCTGGATATTGTGGTGACAAAAACAAAAACTAACTAACACAGTTATGACTTTAGGAAACAAAGGCTGTTCAATATTTATTTGGCCAATATCCCCCCTGACCAATATCATTCTGATTGAAAAATACTACTTCATGGTTTATACTGACTTTTATGGTTTCTTTAGGGCATGCTTTCAGTTGTCGTGAAAATGGAGAAAGAACGAGAGAAGGATTTGTGTCTGTTTGAGACTTTAAAATTTACAAATGTATGACTTATTAATATGTCAGGTGTGATGAACTCTGCCATTCTTCTGTTCAGTTTGAGTTGATTTCACTGAGTAAACATACTGGTCTCTATTGTGTCTTCTGTATTCCAGTGGAATGTGGCCGTCCAGGACCAGGGCTTTGGCTACTACACGTATGGAGATTACTGCTGAATAAAGGGAGGCTGCTTACCTCAGTGTTTACAATAATAAATATTTTATTGATGAATCATCTGTTCCATTGGTTTCAAACAAGAATCGAAAGTCACTTTTTTTAATCTTTGTGGATTTTATACTAAATTATTTTTTAAAAATCTGGCATTCACAATTTATATTTTATTTGGACTTTATACAGTACTGTAAAAATGGAAACATGTAATCAAATGGTCTCTGATCCCAGGGTCAAACTGACTAGCAACACAAATGATAAACAAGTTCTTTTGTGCTTTTTTATATTACAGTACAACACCCCCTGGTGGGGAGAGAAACATGTTGGTAGTATTTGGGTAGAACATTTTTCATATTGGCCCTGTTGAAGTCCCCCAACACAACGAAGGCAGCATCAGGGTGTGTGGTTTCCAGTTTATTAACTATACCATATAGTTGATCTAGAGAGAGTGTCTTAGTTGCCTGGGGTGGAATGTAGACTACTGTGAGAATTACTGAGTTGAATTCTCTCGGTAGGTAAAAAGGTCTAACTTTAATGGTGAGTAGTTCTAGGACTGGGGTGCAGTGAGTAGCTAGAATCTGTATATCTCTCGCCCACGCGGAGTTAACCATGAAACAAACACCCCCCCCCCACACAACTTGCCTGACTCCTTCGTTCTGTCCATCCGAAAGATGTTAAAGTTGTCCGGAGTTACGGCGCAGTCGGGAATGGACGGGTCCAGCCATGTTTCCGTGAGGGCGAGGGCACAGCAGCTCCTCATGTCCCGCTCGTGGTGGATCCGTGCGCGCAGATCGTCCAGTTTATTCCCGAGGGACTGGACGTTCGCAAGCAGGAGAGTAGGAAGCGTGGGTCTGTCCTGTCTCTGGCGAGATCGCCATAGCACTCCAGCACGCTTTCCTCTCCTTGTCCTCCTGCTTTGCCGGCACGGGGAACACAGGATCCAGTCGAGTACGTCTGCCGCGGAGTCGGCAAACGACGGTTTCAGGTCCTGGCTGACTGACGAGCGCAGCCCCAAAAGTGTGTTGCTGTCGTACTTGAGACGCATGAGTGTAAAGGTTGAAAAAGGAGAACGTAAACAAAGAAAACGAGAACGTAAACAAAGAAAACGAAGTAAAAATAGCGAGTCGGCACGGAGCTCCCATCGGTGCGACCATCCTGCGGCGCACTCTGATGACGAGGTTTATTGTTGTTGTTTAAAGACTTTTAGGATATCAGTGAGAAAATAAAATCCTTAACTTTGATGGAAAAATGCGTGTCACGTGGTCATTGTTGCTTTCAGTCTCCATTAGGTTTTACTGTCTGATATAGCAGCACTGCTCCTTTAGCTGAAGGACACAGCTCTGACCACAAGGGGCTGCTCTGGTTCAGCTGCAGCACCTCCTAAAAACCGTCGCAAGAATCACTATGAGAATCCTCTATGTTTTGTTAGGTCATGTTTAATCAGTTTATCCTCACAAAATGTCTGAGATAAAAAAAAAAATTAATTTGTCACATTATATATATATATATATGTGTGTGTGTGTGTGTGTGTGTATATATATGTATATATATAT